CCCTTGGGACAGAGAGCAGGGAAGAAAATGGTGCAGCATCCATCTGGAGGGGCAAAGAGAGTCACCTGGCAAAGCCACCTTATTTTGAACAACACTAAAGATGAAGTTCTAAATCTAGTAATTAATTTTGACAATTCCTTGGAGATTATTATAATTGGGCTTGAATTATATAGATGTAGTCTCAGGTTACAGTAAAAATGTATCCCGAAAAAATTACTCCTGAAGCTTATTTTGATATATCTGCCTTAGAAAATATCAGCCAATAGCCAAGGAGAATAATGAGCACATTCTTGTGTTCTTTTTCTGTTGCAGTGTAGTGCAGCATGCTCCTTGGGATCAGACACACCCAAGTGCGAATCCTGTCTCTCCCAATTACTACTAGATGTTTGATCTTGGCCAACCGATGGAAGCATTCTCACCCTCAGTTCCTCAATCTATAAAATGGGAATAATAATGGAACCCCATTTTGCTGGGTTATTGTGAGGACTAAATGAAAGCACTAGTATAGCAAAGAGCCTGGCTTATGGTGGATGCTCGAGAAGTATTAGTTTGTTTTTTATGTTTTCCCTGTGTGAAGAACCATCAAATTCAGCTTAAGTAAGGATTTTTTTAATTGAGCACCTACTTTATGCTAGGCACTATGTTAAGCTTGTTGCCACCGCATCATAGCAACCCTATAGGATAGACCAGAACTGCCTCAAAGGGTTTTGAAGACTGTAATCTTTAAAGGAGCAGGCTGCCATATCTTTCTCCCAAGGAGCAGCTTGTGTGTTTGAACCATTGACCTTTTTGGTTAGCAGCCTAGCACTTAACCACTGCACCACCAGGGCTTCTGTATTAGGCATTTTATTATCTTGAAAGCTCTTATTGACCTTTTAGGTGAACATTTTATTCCTATTATACAAATGAGGAAATTAAGGCCTGCAAAGATTGAGAGAATTGCAAGACCACACTAGCACTGTGTCTGTGTGTGTGTGTGTGTGTGTAGGGGGTAAGTCTGACTTGAAGCGCTGATTATTCTCAACTACATCCACCACTCTGCCCCTTCCAGAGGCATTTGTGAATGTGGAATGCCATTCATGGATTTGCAATTTTTTCCTCCTTTTTGCCAATGTTAACTGATCTTTGGTCTTTAATCATAATGCAATTCAATCTGTTTTTCTACAGGTTTTCATTTGATAAAGTTGAAAATAACATTCTGGAGAAAAAGACTTTTTTTCTCATTGTTGTGACATCATTTATAAGCAGACTGTCTCTTCAAAGTTCAGCACAGGACCGCATGGTTTTGTAGGTGCTTCCTGGGGGCTGATGGCATGTAGAACCACAGGTGAATGTGGGGTAATGGGTAGCGTATCAGCTGCAAATGAGCTAGCAGGCCAGAACCAGCCACAGATGAATCAATGAGAAGTCCATGAAACTCAAAAGGGCAAGCAAGGTGGTGTGGGGCACGAGGAGGAACTCAGAGATGCCTATAGGACAGCTCTAGAATAACTGTTTCAGACGGGAGGCTGCATCTGGTGGGTCTTAAATGCAAATCTCAGCAACAAATCTTTCTATCTCCCTTTGCTCTGGTAGCGTAGTGTCTAAAGCATATGACTGCTAACCAGAAGGCTGGCGGTTCAAACCCACCAGCCACTCCTTGGAAGGAAGGTTGGGCAATCTACTTCCATAGTGATACTGCCTTGGAAACCCAAGGAGGAGTCACTATGAGTCAGATACGACTCGACAGCAGTGGGTTTGCATTCCCACATTACACAGGAAACATGGGTATATTAGAGCACCAATCCCAGGAGATGGCAAGTAACCCTGCACACACACATTTAAAAAAAGAAAGAAAAAAAAAAAAAACTTTTAAAATATATTTAGATTTATGGAGCTGTGCCAAATCCCTGACACTCCAGAATATTCTTTTGAAAACTAAAAATACAGGAAACAGAAGAACTTATATAGCCCACGGGCCCATTATATTAAGTCAATAGTTTTTGAAGTCTTGAATGTAGAACATGTCCCAGCTTATTTTCATCATTAGTCTGCTTTTAGACAGTCCTGACAGGTTCCGCTCTGCAGAAGATCTGCCTCGATTACTGCGAATCAAGGGAGTCAAGGACTGAGAGAAAAATTGCAGTCAGGCCTCAGAAGGTGAATTCAGACCAGACGTGAGAGCGCTAAACCATAGGGTCAAGATAACAAGTAGAAAATAGTAAATAGGAAAAAAAATCCTGTTGAACTTTAGAAACACTGTTCCTCTAAATAAGTTTCCTGAAATCCTATGACTTTTTATTTATATACATACGTAACATAATATTCCTAAAAGTGAAAGACTGGATAAGGTTAAAGGTAGTCTGTGCTAGAAACAGCACTGCTCCCAGGGGGAGGGATGACTGGAGACCTGAGTTTGCATAACTTGAGCAAATCACTCAACCACACTTTTCTTCAGTTTTTTCATCAGTGAAATTAAGAATCTCTTCCAGCTGTATGACTCCATAGAGTGGGCACAAGAAAAGAAAAGAATACTTGCTACATATGCTGAATGTCTGGTTCCCAGAGCACACCCAGAAAGGGACTGAGTGCACTTAGCCTTCTAGGGGAGGCGGCCATGTAAACACAAAACCAGTTGCTGTCATGGCAACCCTGACTCATGGAGACCTCATGTGTATCAGAGTAGAACTGTGCTCCATAGGGTTTTCAGTGGTTGATTTTTGGAAGTAGATCACTAGGCCTTTCTCCCAAGGCACCTCTGGGACTCGCACTTCCAACCTTTCAGTTAGCAGCTAAGCACATTAACCCTTTGCACCACCCAGGGATTCTGATGTAAACACAACATGGGATAAGACAAAGTAACACTGATGACCATATACTTAAATCTTCTATTAATAGGGTGGAAGGGGAATTGGGAAGGAAGAGGACACTGGGCTTTTTGGCATAGACAGCAAATATGTGAGAGATTGAAGTAGAAAACAATTTCCACAGGCTGCTCTAGATTGGCCATTGCTGTCTCGTTCCCCTCCACCTGGACAGGAAGAAGCCATGTCCTGACCAGATCTCTTCAAGATGTTCATCCAAGAGTGCAAAATAAGATTAGGTTGGCCCTAATCTAATTCCTTGGGAGTTCTGGTAGTGTAGTGCCTAAAGCACTTGACTGCTAACCAGAATGCTGGCAGTTCAAACCCACAAGCCACTCCTCAGAAAGAAGATGGGGCAAATCTACTTCCGTAGTGATACTGCCTCGGAAACCCAAGGAGGGGTCGCTATGAGTAGGGTCTGACTCAACGGCACATAACAACAACAACAATCTAATTCCTCAGGCAGGAAGGTGGAGAGAGAGGCACAATAGGATTTCCTCAATGACGAATGCTCGGGTGTCCAGTCTGCACCATGTCCCAAGCTTTTCAGGGAAATTCAACTTTTCTCTCATGCTTTCAATGGAAAACAGCTCCTGCTCTGAGGCCGCAACTTTTCTGAGATCCATTCCTTGAGCTCTCACTGGGTTCTGCTAAGTAAACTGCAGAAAAGGAAAACTAGATTTGGGGCCTGGCCAGACTTGGTGTGTACCATGATACCGCCAGTGTTGCATTCTGAAAACATTCTTCCAGTAAAAACATAAATAATATTTCCCAGGAGCTTGAGTCTGAGGCCTTCTTATACCTTCTACAGCTCCTGGATGCAGGGAACTTGAGAGCACTAATGTCTGACCTTCCCACCCTATTTCCAACCTATCTTGAGCAACAAACAATCAAATCTGTCCTGGAAGAAGTACAGCTGGAATGCTCTTTGGAAGCAAGAATGGCCAGACTTGGTCTCACCTGCTTTGGTCATGCTGTCAGAAGGATAGCATGCTTGGTAAAGTCGAGGGTCAGTGAAAAATGAGGAAGACCTGATGGATTGACACAAATGGCTGAGAAGATGGGCTTAAGCATAGTAAGGATTGTGAGGATGGGGCCAGATTGGGCAGTGCTTCATTTTGTTGTACACAGGGTCGCTATGAGCCAGAGCCAACTGGAATGCACCTAACAACAATATCTTTGGCAAAGTGTCCAATCTTCCAGTAACCTGTTGTCCATTTTAAACTGAGTTCCTTGTTCTTGAGGACTGAAGGATTGTAGATCATCTGACTGTCAGTATAGTCATCTTGCACGTTTTATTCTTGTACCCATGAATCGTGCTTTGATTCATGGCCATCCGGTGTGTGTCAGAATGGAACTGTGCTCCTTAGGGTTTCCAATGACCATTTTTTCTGAGGAACCTCTGGGTGGACATGAACCTGCCACTCTTCCATAAGCACTGTGGCGCTACCCAGGGACTCCTAGCCTGAAAAGCACTATTTAAAAGGACATTAGTCTACTCCGATGGAAAACTTAGTCTTAACTCACCGTCATGCTTATGAAGCCTGTCTCTTGACCAAACTGGTCCTTTTCTCTGAATGCTGTGGAGGAAGCTGCTCGTAGCCTTTGAAGTAGGACAGATGTGAGTTTGAATCGCGTCTCTGCCACTTGCCACTGTCTGAAGTGACCCGCAGTGCCCCCAGCTGGGAAACGAGGCGGCCAGGACTGGACCGACCAAGAGTGGACGCTCAGCCTCCAGCACGCGTGGAGGTACCTACGCTCTGTCTGGGCCCACCTTCCCTGCGAGACGGCGCTGGGTCCGAAGGATGCCCGCGCTCGGCTCCGGCGCCGGCCCAGCCTCCTCAGGGAGCCGGGCGGGTTGGGCGCGCTCCCAGGCGCATTCCTGGCCGGGCAGCCCCTCCTCTTTCGGCCTTGGCCAAGGGTCTGGCGCCTCCCCTCTTCGCCAGGACTGTCTCGTGCGAGCGGCTGCGGACACTGGTGGCCGCGGGTGCTCCGGGGTCTGGCGCGCTGGTCAACTTGACCCGAGACTGCGTCTCCGCGAGCTAGCGCGGCCGGCCGGGCAGCGCCGATCCCCGACGACCCGGTGCGCTCCCGCCTCCCGCCTTCCTCCCCGACAGAGCCGAGCGGCGCCCCGCACTCTGCGAGGGGTGGCTGCTGCAGCGCCGGAGACAAACTCAGCAGTGAAGGCAGACAAAGTTATTTCCCCTTCACACGCAAAAGGTTCCGATTGGCAAGATGGTGCCCAACTCAGCCTGCGCGCTCTTCCTTCTCCTGCTGCTCCTCGCCTGCCCTGAGTCGCGGGCTTCCCAGGTCAGTGTCCCGCCTCTCCTCTCCCGCTCTCAGGGAGGCTAAGCCAAGGCCACGAGGATCCACTTTCCATTTGGATGCTTGGGTAGAGGGCTTGGAGAGATTCTTGGGCTTCTGTTTAGTTTTCGGAAGGAAGGTGAAATATCCCCCATCTATCACCTCAGATGCATCGTAGCCCAGCTTCTGGGTGGACTCTGTCTGGTATCCCACGGGATGCCCAGACCTGCCCAGCAGTTTGTGCGAAAGCGTTGGTTCACTGAGCTAGAGGGCTCAGCGGAGAACCACAGGTTGGAGGAAGATTTCTCCAGGATTTACAAGATGTGGATCTTTCCTGGGTCTCCAGGAGAGCAGTCACCCACACAATTAAATTAGATATCCCTGCTCTCCAACTTCCAACATCTAAATTTTAACTGAAATATTCTTATCACCATCAACCCTTTAAACATGCGCACAACTTTCTTTAGCAGTTTGGTGCATTTCCAAGGTAGGGCTGGCCAGAAGTTTTCTAAAGCACTCTTATCCTGAGGCTGCGAGGTCTTGGATCTGGGACTGACTACATTTACCTACCAGCCACTCCTCTGAAGCAAGATGGGGCAATCTACTTCCATAGTGATACTGCCTCCGAAACCCAAGGAAGGGTAGCTATGAGTCAGGTCCGACTTGACAGCATATAACAAAAACAACAACATTTTCTCTCAGACATATTATTCCTCTATTAGAGGAAGCTTGCTGTTTTCCTCTTTTTGTATTTTTATTCGTTCAGCAAGTCCCACCGGATTAATTTACTTGGCCAGTTTCACATTTATAGTACCTAAACAAACAAACGGGAGCTCTGGTAGCATAGTGGCTAAGACACTTGCCTGCTAACCAGACGGCTGGCGGTTCAAACCCACCAGCCACTCCTCGGAAGGAAGGTTGGGCAATCCTACTTCCATAGTGATACTGCCTCGGAAACCCAAGGAGGGGTCGCTATGAGTCGGGGCCGACTCGACGGCACATAACAACAACAACAAACAAACAAACAAACAAAACCCAAACACACTGCCATCAAGTCGTATCTGACTCATAGTGACCCCTCCTTGGGTTTCTGAGGTAGTATCACTACAGAAGTAGATTGCCCAACCTTCCTTCCAAGGAGTGGCTGGCTGGTGGGTTTGAACCAACAGTCTTCTAGTTAGCAGTCAAATGCCTTAGGCACTATGCCACCAGAGCTCCATATTGCCTATTAGGAGGTGATTTTTTTCAATTAAGATAAGAATGCAGATAAAAAGGCATCTTCTGAATGTGGAACTGGAATTTCCAAAGTCAGAGCCAGCAGCCACCAGACAAGCTCTGGCAGCCAGAGACCTGTCCCTCTGTGATGGGCCTGGTGGATGGACAGTGATGCAAACAGCAGCTACCCCATGCCTCACAACAATAACATTAGCAATAACGGTAGGTAAGCTGCACTGCTTATTGAGCACCTAATGTGTACTGGGCTCTTTGCTAAGCATCTTCCAGATGTTAATTCTCAGAGCAGCCCTGTGTAGTGGGGACTGTTGTCACCCATAACTTGCAGATGAGAGGACTAAGGCCCAAAGAGGTTGTGACTTATTCAAGGTCTCATACTCAGAAAGTAGCGGAAGAAATTCCATTTCTCTAGCTGGGCTCCAAGCTTTTCCCATTCCTCACAGACACTTGTTCATACTCCCTGCCTTAGACCAAATTCATGGGCATGTTCATGTCCACCTAGATGCTCCTAGGGTACAGGAAGGAATTCTAGCTGGAGAATACTCGGGTCAGACCAAATGTGGTCTATGTTAATGCAGGAGGTGGTGAGTGGGTCCCACAGGAAGCTATCTCCTGAGGTGCCCAAGAAGACAGGTAAGACCATGGCAGTTGTCAGATGTTTACAGCTCACTCGGCTCTGTTCCTGAAAGATCTGGGTCCAATCTGCAAAAGCATTTGCTTCAGTGGGCTTTGTGAGGAGGAAAAGCAAAAAAGATAGTCCATAGATGTTCATTTTAAAAAAATCTAGTGAAACTGTCCTTCACCAAAGATCCTATGTGGTTGAGGGGTTCCTCCTCACCTGCCCTGGTTTGGGCAAGCCTAAAGCGTAAACCACAAGGAAGGTCTCAGGACCTCCTGGCTCCTTCTCATTTTTCAACTCTCTGCTCAAATAAGCTCCCCTTTGCAGAGGTCTTTCAGACCACAACTTTAAACAGGTCCCTTTCATGCCCTTGTATTTTTTATTATGGTCCCCCGAAGGGCTCTGGCATAGGAATCCTTGTTCATGATGGTATATTTTGGATTTATTGTCTATCTTCCTCTGTGTATGGAGGGGCAGGGACCACTTGTGGATATTTTTAACCTAGGATGGTTATTTATTTATGACCACAGTGAGTAGTAGGAGCTGGGAGTCCTTGGGTGAAAACAGTGAATGTGTTTGCCTGCTAACTGAAAGGACAGAGGTTCAAATCCTCTCAGAGGTACCTTGGAAGAAAGTCCTGGTGATCTACTTCTGAAAAAAATCAGCTGTTGAAAACCTTATGGTTATAGTTCTACTCAGACTCACATGGGGTCTCCATGAGTTAGAAACCACTCGAAGGCAACTGATAACTGGTGGTAGAAGCACAGAAGACTCAGTGGAGCATGGGGCATGGTTGGGTAAGTGCTGGTCTGAGCGGAGCCGGAGTGAGGCAGTAGTCTTGACCTTGGCTGCACATCAGATCATTCAGGGAGCTTTAAAAAATCCTGATGTTAGCCTCATCCTAGAGATTCTGATTCATTTGGTCTGGGGTGGGGCTCAGGCATCAGTAATTTTTAAAAAAATAATAATAATTTATCTTCTTTATTTTTGTTGTTGTTAAGAATATACACAATGGAACATATCCCAATTCAACAGTTTCTACCTTACAATTCAGTGGCACTGATTACATCCTTTGGGTGGTGCAACCATTCTCATCCTCCTTTTCTGAGGTGTTCTTGCCCCATTAACATAAACTCACTGCCTGTAGGGTCAGGTCTAATCTTTCAAGTTGCTGTTGCTTGTTTGATCCCACACAGATAGATCATAAAAAAGCATTAAACTACTGTTTGGTTTAAAGATTGTCTCAGGGCAATAGTTTCAGGGACTCATCCAGCCTCCATGGCTCCAGAAAATCTGGATTCCATGGGAATTTTAAATTCTGTTCTGCATTTCCCCCTTTCGATCAGGATTCCTCTGTAGAATCTTTGATCAAAATGTTCAGGAATGGTCTCCGGGCACCATCCAGTGGACACCAGTACTTTTCAAAATCACCTCTAGAGACTCTAATAGAGCAGGTGCCTAAGACCGCAGGAACCCCAGTGTTCAGAGTGAGAAACTGCAGGCCAAGGGGAGGGCCAATGGAAGGGAAATGTATCATGGACACACAAGATCTGAGGCGACTTGGTGTACCTGGAGTTTATCTGATCTGAAAATAGTGTAAGCCTTGGAACTCTTAAACCAGCAGCCAAACTTGTTGACTGGTAAAGTGTTTGGGGGAATGAATTGTTCTCATGGGACCATCCATCACAGAGGAGATGAGAGGGGTCAGGAAAAAGGCACTGGACAAAGGCCCGATGACAAGCAAGCCCAAGGTCCTCCAGGTAGAGCTTTAGGAGGACTTCCTGGAGCAGACCACAGCCCTGACTGGGGTTCCTCTGTTTGATGCTAAAAGTGTTCACTTTGTTGTATTAGGTGACAGCCCACAGGAAGCATGATGGGTATATGTCTGTGTGTGTCCATGTGTGTGCTTAAGTGAATGTGTGTGGGTATGTGAGTGTATGTGCATCACGGTGTGTGTTATTATGTGTGCACATATGCTTCTCTATATGTGACTGTGTGAACATGCCTATGTGTGTGATTTTGTGTGCATGTGTCTGTGTGAGGGTGTGTGCATATCTATGGGGTGTGTGTGTGTGTGTGTGTGTATGTAACAGGGTAGTGGGCAGGCTACTTTCTGTGAAGTTCTGCAACAGCAATCCTGTGGGGATGGACGATCTTGTTTTAATCTCCTACTGTCTTGTATGGCTTGTCACTCTTGTCAGTACATCTGTCCTGAGTCACCTTCCAGATTCTTGTGACTGGCTAATGGGGAGTAGATAGAGGTCAAGCAGTGTGGAGATCCCATGAGTGGGCCCCCTTTCTCTCAACACTACTCCCCATTCTGTGGTCTTCCAAGTGGAAGAAAAACAGCCTTGAAGAGACAAGACAGGGAGAACATTTAACAAGCCCCACTCTGCAGTATTTCCTACGATGGCTCCGGGAAGACAGGGAGTGCAGCCTCTTGGCCTCTTTCTCACCCTGTGGGGTGGAGTTGCTATGGTGTTTCAGAAGGTCTTCCCCTCCTCAAAGCCTCTGCCTTCTATCAGATGTCACAGGTAATGCCATTAAAGGATCATTCTTTTGGTTTCCTCCTCCCATTTACTGCATTGCTTTTTTTCCCCCTCCCCCACTTTTATTGTGATATAAACATACACAATGATGCATTGCTTTTTATAGTTAAATTGAAAAAAAAAATCTTGTAGTGTACATTTCCATGATTTTCTTCATAGAACTATATTTTATATATGGTAACCACCACTATTCAGGATACAGACAGTTCTACCACCACGAAACCTACATCTTACTGTACTTTGTAGTCATACCCTCTTCCACCCCAGCCCCTGGCCACCACTGATCTGTTCTTTGTCGCTATAGTTTTTGCCTTTCCACATTGTCATGTAAATAGAATCAACGAGTCACTCGCCCCCTTAGCCTGGCTTCTTTAACTGAGCATGTGCATCTAGAATCCACCCACACTGTTCTGGTCTCAGTATCAGTGCTGTCCAGGTGATTTCTGCTCAGGGAGACTCCATGTGTCAAAAGTTCCTTGTTATTGCTGAGCAGCAGTCTGTTGTACTGTGTACCACAGTTGTTTATCAATTTACTCTGTCATTTCCAATTTTTGGATTATGAGTAGAGCTGCTCTAAACATTTACTTGAGCTTTTGTGTGAACAC